TTCAAGTCATCTTCTTGTTTTCCAAGAGGACAGATATTTCTTGGGTAACCTTTTATTTTGTTGTCACTTTTTAAATTCTCTGGCATTACAGAGAAAGTGTGAGATCTTAAGGTTTCTGCTTTTTTTGGCAACTATAGCATTGTGAGTCATTCAAATCTTGCATAGGGCATCATATTGCAATTACCATCTACTATTGCTTTTTATATTTTTCATTTTGTTTTCCAAATTTATCTACTTGGTATGGGTATATCTGATTCACTTGTTTTAACTGCTGTTTAGGATTTTATTTAAATATATGATTATTGATTTATTCATTCTCTTATTGGTGGACATTGATTAATTTCTTCTTATGTCTATCTTTTTTTTTCCCAATGGCAAACCATGCTTCACTGAACAGATTTAAACTTACACCAGTATCTCCTTTTTCTATGAATGCAAGTTTTCTCTAGGATGGGTATTTAAAATTATAATTTCTTGTTCTATGCAATATCCTGCTTTACTAGCATCCACAGACTTCACCCCAAAGGTGCTGTAGAAGTTTATAAATTCTCATTGGTAACTTATGAGAATTTTCCCCACATCTTTGCCAACATTTGAAATTTTTTATCTTTTGCCATTATAATGGGTGTACAATATATTTTTTTGCACATCCATGAAGAAAGATATATGTATCTTCATATTGAAGAAACTTGGGTCCTACGCAAAATAAATAGAAATAAGTCTATAGTGAGTAACATCTTAGTGAAATTGTAGAATACCAAAACAAAAGAAAAAAACATTTTTAAATAACCAAAGGGAAAATACAATTTACTTACAATGGAAGGCAAGTAGAATGATAGCAGATTTCTCATTGGCAATTATAGAGGTCAGAAGACAATAGAATGATATCTTCAAGATGCTGTTAAGGGAGAATAAAATCAGTCAAACTAGAATTCTCTATTATTCTCTTGGTGATTTTATCTGTACATTCTCTATTGGACCTCCCCCAAAGGAAATAGATACTGTCCCTTGACCAAAGGGGAGGGTAGGTGTATGAAGCTGGGCAAATCCTAGAACCTTGTGCCTTCTAGTCACATGATTGTCAAGAGTAGGCACACAAAAAAAGAGCTCTGGCAGGCTGGTGTGGCTCAGTGGTTGAGTGTTGACTCATGAATCAGGAGGTCATGGTTGGATTCCCCTATAGGGCACATGCCTGGGTTGCGGGCTCAATCCCCAGCAGGAGGCATGCAGGAGGCAGCCGATCAATGATTTTCTTTCATCATTGGTGTTTCTTCTTCCCTTTCCCTTCCTCTCTCTGAAATCAATTTAAAAATATATTTTTAAAAGAAAGAAAGGGCTTTGGACATGCTCAGCCCTTCCATCTCCATGCTTTGAAAAGACATTTTGTTTGTTTTGGTCCCTTGCATCTGAGAGTCCAGTGAGGAAGCTTTTCAAGGAAGAAAGAAAAACTGGTGCTCAGTGCTACCAGCTCTTCCTTAGGACTCCAGCTATTCTATTCTTAGGACCCCAATAGCTCTCCAAAGGGAAACTTACACTAGAAAAAAAACGGAAGGCATCACATGAGGAACTGGGTTAAAAATTTTGAGAATTTTCGGAGATTTGAGATGATGCAAATAACATCTATAGACGAAAGTACGTTAAGAGATAGGTTCTGAGATGATACAACCATCCTAATGCAGGTGAACACCCCTGCAGGACATAATGGCACCTTGGCACCAGGCCATTTGGGGAAGTGACAAAAACCAAGACTGGAGAGACCTGGAGTCAGAACACACCTGGATGAAGATCAGTAGCCCTATATCAGGGGCCATTCACAGTTACCCGATGGTGGGGACTTGACTCAGTCAAAAGGGTATTTGGGCAGAATCTGTCAGCACCTGGGAAAAGATCTGGAGAAGGCAGTGACAACTGTGAAGCCCGGAGCAATAAAAGTGGAGAAAGATTGATAGTAGCTATGCCAGAGATCTCAAAGCCAGGATGTTTTGTGAGTTTAAGTTGTAGAAAGACAGGTGAGTGAGGGAAAGAGATGGAAGAAGGATGGCATTTGGAGGGCATGCGGGACCCTGGAGTGAAGAGAAGGCTGCGATCTGCCCCTAGCTGTTCCCGCCCTCCCAGCACTGCCTACTGAGATCAGTGAGCAAATCACGGGAGATGTTTGGTTGTTAAAGAGGCTGTGGCTTAGAAAAATAATGGAGTTGACATTCTGAATAAATATGTTATGCAGCTGAAACCACTTGATCTTTGCATCAGAGAAGAAACCCCTTAGGGAAAGAAGTGGACGGGATTCTTTTTAAAATAAAAAGTTCGTTGGCAGATTACCACAGTAAGAAGATGAAAAGTCAGGGAAATCGGATGGTAGCAAAATCCATGTTGCCAAGAGTTGAATAAAGACGCACATCATTAACATTACAAGCTACATAATGAGGTGTCAGCAAGACGTCAGCTGTGGGGAAAAGTTGGAAGATGATGCTTTTTTTTACTTGCAGCCAGAGCTCTGGTTGAAAATAAATGCCATATCTTGCAGCTGACAGTAGAGATCCTTAATGATCTCCATCAGAAAACTAAGACTGTTTAAGGGCCTGACTCAGAAAGCTTACAAGACAGAAGAGAAAGAACAGAAGCTGTTGGCTGCAGAGAGGGCGTTCATGGAGAATTTCAGAAATGGAGGGTGAATTATAGTGAAAACAGATTATGTAAAACTCTGTTGAATCATCCTGCTGGAAAAACAAACAAACAAAAATGCCCAGGACACCAGGCATTTTTTCTTTTTGATGCATCAAAATTTCTTCCTGTCGAAACTGGTTTGGCTCAGTGGATAGAGCGTCGGTCTGCGAACTGAAAGGTCCCAGGTTCAATTCCGGTCAAGGGCATGTGCATTGGTTACGGGCACATCCCCGGTAGGGGGTGTGCAAGAAGCAGCTGGTCGATGTTTCTCTCTCATCGATGTTTCTAGCTCTCTATCCCTCTCCCTCCCTCTCTGTAAAAAATCGATAAAATATAAAAAGAAAAGAATCATTAAAAAAAAAAAATCTTCCTGTAGAAAAGAGAAGTGCTGCCTTCCTAAGACAGAAATTGCAGGTAGCAAGCCTTAAGATAGTTGTACTTCAGAGATTTCAGAAATAAACCCAAACCCAACAAGATCTACTAAATAACTCCCATCCATAAGAGGTTCTAGAAACCAGATGGGCTCCCATGACATATTCTGATGAGTACAGGAGCACTGTACCCCCTCCCCTCCAGTGTACCTTTCACCTTTCTTTACTATGGAAGATGAATGCTGTGAATTAGCTGAATTAGCTGTGAGTGGGCTTGTACCTGGGTACAAGGATAAGACGTGGTCAGGAAAAACCTTACCCTCTAACCTGCATGCAAACATGACTTAGTCGATGAAACACTGCCAGAATGTCTAGTGGGTACCACACCCTCTGATGACACACTACCCAACCCTCCTTGATGGTGGACTCAAGAGGGATATCGCCATTTCATCATCAATCAAACAGATTTGCCTAGATGTTAGCATAGGGCCGTTCATGGACCACCACCTTGACCAAGGGACTTTTTCAATATCTGATGGAAATATCTACCTCTAACCCTCTAGCTGGTTTGGCTCAGTGGATAGAGCATCAGCCTGTGGACTGAAGGGTCCTGGGTTTGATCCCGGTGGCTTCATTAATGAAGAATGGCCCGAAGAGCTTGCACTTAGGGCTGGTTTGGCTAATGCTGATAAAAGGAAAGTCCTATCTTTATCAGGAACACCTGTCATACTCAGCACAGAAAGGACTCCCACCGCGACCAGCCACCGTCTCAAAAGTAGACCCTCTTTCTCCCACTTTCTTCCTGGTGGGCTTGCATTCTGTCTAAAGGAAACTTTAGAAACTTAAAGCCTTTCGCCATGAGAGACTACCTTCTTTCTGGACCCTAATGAGTTGAGATTATCTATCTTTCTCTCTCTCTGCAAAATACTTCCAGCCTACGGGGCCTAGAGACAAGACCAATCAGCTTCTCCAGGTGCCAACCCTGGACCCCACAGGCTCCCAGTCTCAGGTTGTAAAGAAACTATTGGGAGAATTTATGTGCTTCAAAACCCAATGTGAATGTTACTTTGGTAATTAAACTTTAGAGCTTAGTTTTATTATTAAGAGATCTTTTATGAGCCACATTATTCAAATCTGCTAGGTATTTTATTTGCTATGAAGGCTGGCTACCACTTAAACTCTAGTCTCTCATTTTCTCCACTCTCCTCAAACCCATTTTATGCATTATTAATGTAGTTTATATAGTTAATGTAGCACATGCAACAGAAATGTTGAGTGCCAAGTTGAGTGTAATACTTTTACATAATTTTTAAAGTATAAATATAAGTATCAGGAATGTTTGTTAACCTATGCACTTTTGCTCAGCCACACGTTGGATAAATCCAGTCAGTTAATCAAAAGTCAAAACAATCAACTTTGTGTTGGCGAATTGTTTTCTAAGCGGAAATAAGTAACCCAAACCTATGATGTAATTCCAAATAGTATACTCTTCGGTTCAATAAATCATTTAGAAAAATCACTAACATAGCTATTCTATCAATATTTGCTTTCAGTCATGAAAGCGGAGACTGTCAGATTCTTTTACTCCAGTAGAACCATTTAACCATATAAAATTAGAAATCAACATAGTCCCTAAAATCTGCCTTAGATGATGTGGAGGTGGGGCCAGGAGCCTGCTGACTTCACCTCCCTCTCATCTCATAAGGTGGCATCTCCAAGTATTCCAGGGCTCCACCAGCTCAGATTGGAAACTTCTAGGTCACAGCATTATGGCAGCAAGTTCAAGGTCACATTTCATATATTAAAAAAAAAGAAGAGCAAGTGTGAAAAATCTCTCTAAATCACAAATGTACACCCCACTGTCCAATCGACAGAATCATCTTTGTTCATTAAGAACATTTCATTAGCCCTCGCTGGTTTGGCTCAGTGGATAAAGTGTCAGTTAGCCTGCGGACTGAAGGGTCCCAGGTTTGATTCCAGGCAAGGGCACATGCCCGGGTTGCAGGCTCAGTCACCAGTGTGGGGCATGTAGGAGGCATGATCGATGATTCTTTCTTATCACTGATGTTTCTATCTCTCTCTCCCTCTCCCTTCCTCTCTGAAATAAATAAAAAATATCTTTAAACAAAAGATCACTTCATTATATTTCAACAGAAGTAATAAGTACTCTTTAATGGAGGTTTTTTAAAATATATTTTATTGATTTTTTTATAGAGGAAGAGAGAGGGATAGAAAGTTAGAAACATCAATGAGAGAGAATCATCAATCAGCTGCCTCTTGCACACCCCCTACTGGGGATATGCCCACAACCAAGGTACATGCCCTTGACTGGAATCGAACCCGGGACCTTTCAGTCCGAAGGCCGACGCTCTATCCACTGAGCCAAACCAATTTTGGCTTTAATGGAGTTTTTAATGGACCTGACACATGTGCTATGGAGTCAAGCAAGAAGCACTCCTAGGACCCTTCCAGGGTGAGTTTCCACATTCTTCTGATGTTAGAACAGCAGCCCAGATGACATTCAGCAAACTACTTTCTCACACAACAGCTCCATCTGGCTGTGAGCTGTCAGAAATTCTATAGCTTCCAAGAGTGAAGGCTTCCTTGTCATTCTTTATTCCTTAAGAAGATTAGACTCTCTCTTGCTCCAACTCTTCTGAGACCATATGGGTCTCAAGTTAGATCAGGGATTTACATCTAAATATGAAGTTGTAGGCAAGGACTTAGTGGCAAAATATTGCCTTGAATTGTAAATTAATTAACTCAGTAATTAAATTCACCAGGGGAAGGTTTTTTAAAGAAGATTTCAACAACCTGAGATAAAGTGGTTTCTTCTCCACCATTCTTATCGCTGACTCCAATAGCAGCACCCCCACTGTGGACTTCAAGAGAAAATCAATGCCAAAGGTGGGAAATGACCCAAGCTCCTGCCACTGACCCTGCATACCCATCAGACTCTACTCTCCTTTTCTTCTTCAAATTTTTTCCTAATAAAAAGGTGCCTCTGGTCCTAACCGGTTTGGCTCAGTGGACAGAGCGTCGGCCTGCACCCTGAAGGGTCCCAGGTTCAATTCCACTCAAGGGCATGTACTTTGGTTGTGGGTACATCCCCACTAGGGTGTGTGCAGGAGGCAGTTGACTGATGTTTCTCTCTCATCGATGTTTCTAACTCTCTTCCTCTCTGTAAAAAATCAATAAAATACGTTTGGTTTTTTGTGTTTTTTTTAAAGGTGCCTCTGAATCCATGCCTAATCCCCTCATCTGTTCCCTAGATTCCACCTCCCACATCCTCAGTTCTTTACTTTATCAATTAATCTCCTCCTCTTTCTTCGTGCACCCTCTCTGCTGCCTTCTTCCCAGTGGCATTCCCCATGCTCAAGTGTCTCCTAAGTTCATGGAAAATTCCTGCTCTTGCCCTATCCTCTGCTTTCTTTTATGGTCAAGCTTAGTTGAAGGAGTTACATCAATCTTCATGAATTCCTTTTCCTCACCTTCCATTTGTTCCATACAGAGGGTGCCCTACAAAGTCACCAAAAACTCCTTCTACTAAATACAACAGACATCTTTGATTCCTCAATAGTCTCTAAATGTTTAAAAAAATGTTCCTATAAAAAATCAAACAAACAAATATCCATTCAATCAACAAGTATTTATTGCTTTTACTAGTGCTGGGAACTGAGGACGTAGCAGTAAATGGGTCCTGGCAGTCCTGGAGTCTACATTAGGAAGGAAAGGGAGCCAAGCAATAAACAAGTGAAAAATGAACAAGGTAATTCCACTGGGTGATAAGCATTGTAAAGACAAACCAACCAAAGTGATGGGCTAGAAAGTAACCATGGAAACCACTCTGAGCGGAAGGCACCAGTGCAAAGATCTTAGGCCAGAGCATCACAGGCAGAATGAACAACCACAGAGCCCCAAGATGGGCACAAGCACTGGGGAGATATGACAACATCTTATCTACAAGTACAAAAGGAAAGAACAGAAAGAAGGCAAGAATGTGTGGTCTTCCTCAGTAGAGAAAGGGCATCTGAGTCCCAAGCAGGGTGAACCAAGCCTGGATGAACCATAAGCCTTTTACCCTTACGGTCTGGGGCCTGGCTCCACATCACCTCCAGACCTAAGAAGAAAAGTGTGAGGAGGTGGGGAGAATGGGGGAAGTATCTACAGCTTGCATCTTTCACCCTTCAACCCCAACCTATACATCAGCCAAGCTTAGGCTTCAAATAAGCTGGGGTGGCTTCTGGAATGGATCCTGCTGGAGCCTAAAGAGAGACTGATCCACTCCAACCCTCTCCTTCCACCTTCCAACTCTGATGTTAGGAAAGTGGCCAAGAGGGGCTCCTATAAGGCTACTGCTTGGCATGCAGTGGAGCCCTAAGTCAAAGACAGGCCCAGAAGGGAGTGTATTAGAGTTTGTGTTTTCAGATGCTCAGCTTAAGAAGTCAGAGTCCTCAGGGGCCATGGATCCAATGTGAACTTGTATTTGTGCATGAGAGAGAAAAAATGAGTGCCCAAAGATGATGTTCTTCCAAAGCCAAGTTCCCTAACCACACACACACACACACACACCAATCCACAAGGTGATCTGAGAGTCCTTTATTTAACCATTAACCTATGGACACACTCCCTCCCTACAGCGTGTGTGTGTGTGTGTGTGTGTGTGTGTGTGTGTGTGTAGGGGGTGTGGTGGACCAGGATAGATGGGGGCGGGGGAGAGCTACTTCCTTTGGTGGTGACAGAGAGCCCATACTGACACCAAAGTCCTTCCCAAGAGTCTAGGGCTACTGGTAGTCGCAGTAAAACAGAGAGCAGCGATGGGCATTCAAACACAATCTTGCACCATTACGATTGGGACCAGTGCCCGCCACCCACCCCCTCCCTAACACACCCTTGCATGGCCTCCTACACAGGAAGGGAAGGCTTGGCTGCTTAACCTCCCATAACTCACCCTTCCCACCCACTTAAATCTCATCTCCCCAAAGCCAAGCTCCTCTTTGTCTTCTCCTGATCTCACTGCAGTATCAGAGAGAAATATGAAGGGGTCCAGCTAGGGAGAGCATGGAGGGACCAGGCCTCAATCCTCCCCAGGAACTGGGCACTATTTCTATAACAACTCTCTGAGCACACTTTCTGGTCCCATGAAAGTGCCCAGGGGCCATCTGCCCACCCAGGGAAGTGAGAAGGTGGGAAAACAGTATTTCCTGCTTCGTATGGAGGGCCCATCTTAGCAGCCCAGTTTCCAGGACTCCCCAGAAGAGGGGATGGGAGTAGGGCATCATGGTGGAGGCCAATAACCTGCTCAAAGCAGCACAATTTGCAAAGCAATGGATTCTGGAGTTGAGACCACCCAGATGGGTTGACAAGCTCAAAAGCAGTGCCTTAGAGTCTTTTCTCTCACGCAGGCTGGGATCAGGAGGAGACATTCACAAATTCCTCTGTGAGGTCGGAGATAGAGGCCTGGGGAGTAGCAGGGGCTGCTTTCTCATGCCTTTTCTCTTAGCTTCTGACGCAGTACATTGGCCACATGTGGATGTAGACCACTCTGACCCTTTCTGGGGATATCTTGGCATCTTTATAGATTATTTGAGAGCCTATTATTTTACTCTGAGAAGAATGTGGATCTTCCCTAGAGCCAACTCTATGCTTCTGACTGTGGGCTAGTCCAGGAAACTCACTACAAAGAAGAAGGCCACGGATCTAAACAGGACCAAGGATCTGCAACAGGATGCCAGGGACAGAAGGAAAAGGGGTTAGAGGACAACACATGGGCTGACACTTAAACCATCCTGATCCAAAGACCCCGGGGCCTGAGCACATCCTGGGAGAAAGGACTGCAGGTAAGACCAACGGAGCCACGCCCTGAGTTCTGGAGCCCGTGGGGCGCTGCTGGAACCCTCCGACTGGAGCATAACACAGAGATGCCCCTCTCACCTCCAGGCAGGCCGCCCGGTGGCCCTCCTGCCATGGAGACCTTGGGCATCAGCCGGTGTCTGTCTCTGCATCGTATTCGGAGCCGGCGAGCTTGCCCAGGGGCATGTGGGTCAGGCAGCAGTACGTCCAGGAGCTGGGGCCATCCGTTCTCTTGAAACTCCTCCTTGGTTATTTCTTCCTTGGGGTTGGCTTGCTCCTCCTTCTCAATCTGGTTTACAAAGAGAGACAGGAGAATCCATGACCCTGGTAAGGGCTCAGTTCATGGGACTCTGAATTTGTAGACTACCTTTGAGGTTATTTCAACAAGTGGGAGCACCTGAGTTGAGGAGAATCTGCTAATAGCTAGGTTTAAATGGCACAGTGTATCCATTAAGTAACAATTCTAGTCACATCCACCTACCTAGTGCTATAAGATCCTACACTAAGTACTTCACCGCGATAAATAATGAGGTAGATAACATCCTTATTTTACAGATGGGGGAAAAGTGTGGTTTTGAGAGAATAAGTAGCTTGGACCGGCAACAGAGCTCAGATGCAAACCTGATGCCATTGTCCTTGCCCTTCCCACTGTGCCAAACTAGGTGTATTTATAGGTCTCATTCAGTCAGTAACATCAGCCAACCCCTGAGTGGGGCCCTGGAGATATGAGTGTAAGACAGAGTCCCAGCTCCTGACTCATGTACACTCCAGCAGGGGAGACAGACTGTATGGTGTCCGATGTGTAACAGTGGAGATACCAACTGAGCCTAGGGAGGGGGTGGGCATCTCCTAAGCAAGAAATATGAAGGCTGTACCAACGCTCCTAACCACTGACAGGCATGATGGCTCTGCAGACACAGGAGAGAGGTTCTCGGCTTATATGAAATAGTTTACGCATCATTACCATTGACCAACTCAAAATATGCCCCAAATTCTAGTAGTGATTAGAACCTCTTTGTGTTTTAAATCCAAAACACATTCATGCCCATTCATTAGTTTAATGACAGAGTATGTCTATCAATGAACCACGATGAAAGATTAACCATATCTTGAAATGAGAATATGAAGAAAATACAAGTATGAACCTACAACCCAACCCAAGTACCTTAGCTGGTTGAGCTCAAGCCTTTGGACTCTAAACCCTTTCAGTGATCCCAAAAAGCCAAATTATCAAGGACTTAATCTTGTTAAAATAATTCTCTAAAAAACAAATGTTCTAAGTGAAATAGCTTAGGTTTGCATATGGTTAAGCATACAGATTAAAAAGTAAAAAATAAAATTGTCTCTTCATAGACAACAAGATTGTCAATGCAGAAAATTCCAGTCTATCCCCTCAAAAAGGGTAGAATAAATGAGCAGCAAGATTACAGGATACATGATAAATATACAAAAATCAATTGTTTTTATATACTACCAATGAACAATTTCAACAGCACTTTTATAAACTACTTAGGTATAAAACAAAATATGTGCAAGATCTGTGTACTGAAAATTATTTAAAAAAAAAAAAAGCCTAAATAAATGGTGGGAAATACCATGTTAATAGATTCAACAGTGTTACTACTTCTCCCCAAATTGATTTGTAAACTCAACTCAATGTCATTCTAAATTCTACCAAGATATATTGTAGAAACTGACACACTGACATAAAATGTATACGGAAAAATAGAGAAACTTGACTAGCCAAAAACAATTTCAAAAATGAAGAACAATGTTAGGTAATTCACACTAATTGGTTTTAATACTTCCTTTAAGGCTACAGTAATTAAGTGTGGTGGTGTTGAAAGGAAAGATATATACATTAACAGAACAAAATAGAAAGTCCAGAAATAAATTCACATCTTATGGCCAAAAATTTTTCAACAAAATTGCAAAAGTGATTCAATGGAGAATCTTTCCAACAAATGAGACTGAAACAATTAAAAAATGGATATGGGGAAAAAATTAACCTTAATTCATGCCTCACACCATTTAGAAAAAGTTAACTCAAAATGGATAATAATGTAAATGTAAAAACTACATATTTAAATTTCTAGAAGAAAATCTTTGTGACCTTGGATTAGGCAAAGTATTCTTACATATAATACAAAAAGTATAACTCATAAAAAATGATAAATTGGACTTTGTAAAATTTGAAACTGGTTCAACACAAGACACTGTTAGGAAAATGAGAAAGCAAGCCACAGGCTGGGAAGCAATATTTGCAAAACATATATTTGTATCTAGATAAATTTTATAATCTCTCAAAATACAATAATAATAAAAACCCACTTTTTAAAACGAGAAAATGATTGAGCACACACTTCACTAATAAGTGGTGGATGATATACAAGCTCATTAAAGGATTCTCAACATCATTAGGAAAATGCAAAATTACACACCTATTAGAATGGATAAAATTTTAAACCCTGACATACCAAGTGCCAACAAGAATGCAGAGCATTGCCCAATGCTGGTCAGAGTACAAAATGATACAGCCACTTTGGAAAACAATTTAGCATTTTCTTATACATTGAAATATACAAGTGCCATATGTCCCAGTCATACCAGTCCTAGTTATTTACTCAAGAGAAAAGAAAACTTATGCTCACATGAATGTTTATAGCAGCTTTATTCATAATCACCCCCAACTGTAAAAACCCTAAATCTCCTTCAACTGGCAAATGCAAAACTATGATAGGTACATCCATATAAAGGACTACTATTCAGCAATCTAAATGAAAGAACTGTTTATTCACGCAACAATGTGGTTCAATCTCAAATGCATTATGCTAAGTGAAAGAAGCCAGACTCAAAAGGCTCCATGCTGCACGATTCCTTTTATACAACATTCCGGATGAGACAAAACTATAGACAGAAAAAAGGTGAGTCGTTTTACAGGAGCTTGGGGGTGGATTGCAAAGGAGAAGTATGAGAGAATTTTACGGGTGATGAAATATTCTATCTTCATGTGGTGGTGGTTGTGTGCATAGAGCTATCTTCTTTTATATATATATATATTATTTTATTTATTTATTTTTTTTTTAATTGATTTTGTACAGAGAGGAAGGGAGAGAGATAGAGAGTTAGAAACATCGATGAGAGAGAATCATCGATCAGCTGCCTCTTGCACACCCCCTACTGGGGATATGCCTGCAACCAAGGTACATGCCCTTGACCGAAATCGAACCCGGGACCCTTCAGTCCCCAAGTTGACGCTCTATCCATTGAGCCAAACCGGTCTTGGCCATAGAGCTATCTTCTGAAAAGGTTGTGTATCTTAATAAACCTGACATATGTGATGTGTGTGGGGGGGGGGGTGTATTACACATACATGCACATGTAAACCCTGGAGGAGACAGGAAGAAGGAAGATCACAGGTGTGGCTGACCTGATCAGAAGAGCATGCTTTTCCCCTGAGGCTGAGGGGAAGCATTTAGACAGGTATATATCCTGATAAATGTGTGAGGGCTGGCGGGGCAGGCTAGCCTGGAGAGGGCCTCAAGCTCATTCATTTGTGGTGGCACCAACCCACAGAGCTGAGGCTTTCCTGGCCATGCTCAGCAGCCATGGCTCAGCAGTTGGGAAACTGCAGGTGAGTCATCAGTTTGATGTAAGATCAGGGATTTGTGAGATGAAGGTAACATGATATGGGACAAGAGGATTAAGGCTATAGGAGGGAGACTGGTTAACCATGTGGTTGTAGGTTAAGGACATGTGATCAGGGAGGAGGTGTCAGACTCGGGGAACGCACAGCTGCCTAACCCAGGCCTCTGCATTGGGACTGCCTACGATGCGCAAAGATGCTCAAGGGCCATGGTCTGCAAACTGCAGCTCTTGAGCCACATGCTCTTTGGCCCCTTGAGTGTGGTTCTTCCACAAAATACCACAGCCTGGAAGAGTCTATTTTGAAGAAGTAGCATTAGAAGTTTAAGTTTAAAAAATTTGGCTCTCCAAAGAAATTTCAATCGTTATACTGTCGATATTTGGCTCTGTTGACTAATGAGTTTGCCGACTACTGCTCCAGGACAATTAAAGCTCACTATTAACTTGTAAAATAGGCTCATTTCCAAATATTAAAAGGACTAAAAGTTGGCCTGCCATGTGTGTGGGCAGGGAGTATATGGGAAATCTCTGTAGCTTCTGCCCAATTTTACTGTGAACCTAAAATTGCTTTAAAAGATAGAGTATTAAAAAAAAAAAAAAAAAAGTTGACCTGCCTAAGATGATGCGGATGAAATGTGCCTGTCTGGCTCACCTTTTCTTTCTACATGGATCCCCCGCCTTTTACCCTCTATTCATCCAGCTGACCACCTCTGTGCAGCCTCGGTGAAGCAGGCCCTGCTCCAGACTCCTATGGCCCAATGTTCACACTGACTGTGATAATGTTAGGACATTTACGGTATACCCTACATTGTGACCAGCTATTCTCTTGTTTGGTCCTAGTGAATCACACACACACACACACACACACACACAACTGGCTTGTTCACTGCCATGCCCCTTCCTACAGCATGGTATCCGGCACTCTATACATATGGAACCAAGTTTGTTAGATGACCGACTGACTCACTGACTGACTGAGTGAATGAATGAGATTATCCCTGTTTTGGCTCAATGAATAGAGTATCAGCCTGCAGACTGAAGGGTACCAGGTTCGATTCCGCTCAAGGGCACATGCTCAGGATACAGGCTCAATTCCCAGTAGGGGACGTGCAGGAGGCAGCCGATCAGTAATTCTCTCTCATCATTGATGTTTCTATCTCTCTTTCCCTCTCCCTTCTCTCTAAATTAAATTATATATATATATATATATATATATATATATATATATATATATATATGATTAACATTAGATGAAGTGTGTTGGGAGGACGGATAGACAAAATGGCTGAACCTCTGCTTTACACATACCCGGATATTCTTTAGAGTGACCATTCCTCCTTTCTCCGAGGCACCGGAATGCAGAGCCTCATCTACTCAACCTGCTATTGTGTCAAGACTCTGAACTGGTAAATTAATCACTTCCAGTTCTACTAGACCAAGGAGACCATGGACACTGCCATCGGAGGTACTGTGTCGGTGGCATGAATAAGGAAAGCAGAAGCCACACTAGGTATTTCAAACAGAGGGGGTTTAATGCAGGGAACGGGCGGCATAGGCTTGGGAAGGCTGAGAGAGGCCCTCGAGATAACCCAGAGAGTAGTAAACACAGGAAGCAGCTACTAACCTGAGGGCTGGGGGAACACAGGGGAAGAGATGGTGTTACCAGAACCTAGAGGCTTTGATGGGGGACCCCCCACGGCCGGCGCCTGGCCCTCTGTGGGGACTGCTGCGGGGGCTGCTGCGTGGCGGCTGCTTGGACTTCTGAGGGGGGCGCTGCTTGGCTGGTGGCGGTCGGACCTCTGGACGGGGTCGTGGCTGACGCTCAGACCTCGGAGGGGACCGTGGCTCAGACCTCGGAGGGGACCGTGGCTTGGCTGGTGCTCTGACCACCGCGGGGGGTGCCGCTGGCTGGAGCTTGGGCCTCGGGGGGGACGTTGCACGGCGCCTGGTTCTGAGAGGGCCAAAAGAAGCTGGAGCCCGGAGCCATGGCTCTCCTCTGCTGCTTAAGGGATGCTGGCAGGAGCTGGAAACAGGGAGGCAGGCCTGCTCCCCCTCCCACCTTCCAGTCTCCCTCTGGCACCTTCCAATGGCAGAACCTAACCGGGATCCGTCGGGCAGGGGCCTGGGAAGAGCAGCCTGCAGAGCCCCAGCCCCAGCATCACAGAGGAGAGGAGGAAGGTAGGGGTACGAAGGTCAGGGGGTGGCTTGGAGCTGAGAGACCACAGGCCAGCACCCAGCCCAGGTGCCGGTCCCTTACCTGGTCCTCTGGCAGGCACAGCAGATCCAGTCCTCTTCCTGCTTCTGGTAGAAGCAGCCACTTTTGCAGATGCTGTACTTCCGGTCCACAATCTCACGTTTGGAGTTGAGGAAGGTGAACGGCGGGCAGCACCGTATGCTGAACTGCTCAGAAAACTTCTGGTTCTTGGAGAGCCTGGGACCCTCCTTACTCGTTTTCTGACTCATCTCCCTGGAAATCATCCACGCGGGGGCAGGTGGGGAGACAGAAAACAGCAGGTCAGGTGAGTGAGTGTTCTACTCAAGGAACACACTCCCTGCTACTCCCAGAGCTGTCTTATGCCACAAACACCTGACATAGCAAGTTCCTGCCCAAGTCCGGGGAACAACTCAATGAAGGGTTAATTTTTTTTTTCTTTCTAGAAATGGACTCTTTTTTCCATATGTTTAGTGATCCATTTAAGATAGAAAAAAATATTACAAAGCCAAACATTACTGAGCACCTAGTATGGTAGTTGCTTTATAGACTCCTCATTTTTATAACATATGGCTTTATCAACAAACTAAAGATGAGAGAAGCTAAGAAACATGACCAAGTTCATAAAGCCTGTAAGAGGCAGAGGATGTGAACGCATGCCTCTAGGACTCCAAAATCCTGTGCCTCTTTGACCAGGTCCAGCACTATCTGTGCCCCCTGTGCTCAGCCCTCCTCTTGCAGCAGCAGGGGGGCAGGCGCTGGGCCCAGACCAGACTTTGGGGGACTGAGATGGGCCCAGAGAAAGGATAAGTCTGCACAGATGTGCGTGCGTGGGTCCTGGGCTAGAAAAGACTGAAAGTTGGGGAAAGAGCTCAGAGAAGAAGGAGAGGCAGAGAAGGGCATTGGGAGACTTCGCACAGTACGCATATGCAGCAACACTGTCCCCAGCAAGCAAGAAAGCTCCCAGCGGGGAACTAGAATGTAAAACCAGAGGGTCCTGGAAGGAGAATGGCAGACAGGTGCTTCCCTCTGTTCCTCCACCACTGGCCTTAGCGGGTTTTTTAAATCTATCGATACATTCACTGTTGAAAATAAAATATTTTGGATGAATGGAAATAATAAAAAAATTCTGCCCAGCTGGTGTGGCTCAGTGGTTGCATGTCACCCTGTGAACCAGGAGGTCATGGTTTGATTCCCAGTCAGAGCACATAGTCACAGCCCCCTTTATAGTTTATATATTTTCATCTTCTCTCGTTTTTCTTGATTACTCTTGCCAGAAGTCATCTCCTTTATATTCTTTTCAGAAACAATCTCTTGGTTTTCTTGCTTCTCTTTGCTCATTTTTTTTCTATTGTAGTTCATGAATTTCTGTATGCATTTATTATTTCTTTTCTTCAGTTTTCTTTACATTGATGTTCTTGTTCTATTTCCTTATTCTTGAATCAAATACTTATCACATAGGCATTTATGGCTGTAACTTTTTCATTAAATTCAACTCTAGTTGCATGCCACACGTGTTAGCATAAATCATTTTCACTTCATTTTAAATATGGATGAGTTCTTTGATTCATCAATTCTCTTTAAAAATCTGTTGTAAAATTTCCAAGTGTATGGAATTAATTTTGTTACATTGACTTCTAATTCTAATGCATTCTAGTCAGAGAAGAGTGTATATGATCATGACTCTGATATAATATTGGTTGAGATTTGCTTTGATAATGTCCTAGTATATATTCAGTATTGTTACACATTCCACACGTGCTTGAAATAAAATGTGCATTTTTAGAAACAATTTGGGGTTACCTAGGGAAGATAAAAGTATGCACAAACTACAGGTCAGCCATCTGTTCTTAGGCACAGCAGCCTTGGATGGCGGCTCAGCCGTGAAGAGGAAGCCTTAGGGTAGAGCACAAGGCCTGGAGGAGCTTATCTTATGAGTATAAGATATTATTATCTTATGCCTATGAATATATACTAGGACATTATCAAACAAATCCCAAGGCGGCCCTGCTCCTTCCCAGGCCCCTCCTTCCCTTTTCCCAGCTCCTTCTTGTACATGGCTATCGCTCCTCACTAAACCACACGGCCACCCTCTCTGCCTTCCAGTGACCAGGAATAATTGTAAGGAAAAGATGGGAGTAACCAGAAACTGGCATTGTCATAGAACAAGATGAAATGTCTAGCACTGAAAGCACTAGTATTTCAAAACATGAAGAATTAGCTTCAAGTGCTTAAAATATTTATACATTTTTAATGAATTTCTGTTGGATCTTGCCTCCATTTCACAATGTAATATTTATTCTCTGAAAATCAAAGCCCTTGAGAGCAATAAAAGCAGTTAATCTTTCATTCTTTGAGAGGAGACAGAAGTAAAATATAGTTACAGTAATAATGCATGAATATGGGTGAAAATTGTAAATGGAGTTTTACTAACTGGTAAGCATAGGAGGGCAGGTGGGATTAAGTGATTTAAAAAAAAAAAGACTTAATTTTGTGTATTACACAGAATCAGGGGATGGTCTTTCAAGAAATTGCCAGAACAGAAAAATTGAAGCATTCATAACTCTATATATGTCTTAAAACCAGACTAGCTTATTAAAGGCGAGAATATAGGCAAGGGAATCCTAGTATTTTTATAAAAACACAATGTAAGCCGGGACCGGTTTGGCTCAGTGGATAGAGCGTCGGCCTGCGGACTGAAAGGTCCCAGGTTCGATTTCGGTCAAGGGCATGTACCTTGGTTGCGGGCACATCCCCAGTGGGGGTGTGTGCAAGAGGCAGCTGGTCGATGTTTCTCTCTCATCGACGTTTCTAACTCTCTGTCCCTCTCAATCCCTCTCTGTGTAAAATCAATAAAATATATTTTTTAAAAAATTTTTAAAAAAACCAATGTAAGTAGTAAGGTTTTGATTTTATTTAATTATTAATATTTTTATTCTTGATGAATCACGGAAATAATAGGTAGCTATTTGAAGAACAATGGAATATTAGCCAGCTATTTTTAAAGATGCTTATGAAGATGTCATACTGACATAAGAAAATATTTCTGTAATATCAAGTGAAGGCACAAGGAAGCTAGACTATTTCTCTTTTTTTTAATATTTTTTTAAAGTCGATTTCAGTGAGGAAGGGAAGAAAGGAGAGAAAGAATTAGAAACATCAATGAAGAGAATCATTGATTGGCTGCCCACTGCACGCCCCTATTGGAGATTGAGCCTGCAGCCAGGGCATGTGCCCTTGACCGGAATCAAACCTGGGACCCTTCAGTCTGCAGACCAATGCTCTATCCACTGAACCAATCCACTTAGGGTTAGACTATTCCTTGTCTGTCATCAATTCCAGCTTCCAGCTGCAGCCATCTGAGTCAGAGGGGCTGACCACTTCAAGAGGACTCCCAGCTTCCTCTGACTCCTCCAGAAGTAGTCCTCTCGTCAGGGCCTAGGACAGAAGCCAGGGTGACCTCGGTAGGAGAGACACACAATCAGACCCTGCCTTGAACAGGTGAGACACTGGTGCTCTGGAGACTTCGAGCAATCTTAGGCCCAATTTTCAGGCTGGCAAAGACTCTCTGAATTGTTGGTGGGAGGTATTAGGACAGGTGGGGCCACAGGGACCCACTGACAGTGGAGGCCAGGTGACATATGCAAAAAAAAAAAAAAAAAAAAACACGGAAAAAGATGGAAGGTAAATACAATAGTAACACTCAGCCATTCATTCAAATACTTGCTGAGTGCCTACTAAGTGCCAATTGTGAACAAGACAAAGTAGGTGCCTGTACTCATGGAGCTTAGGGTACAGCGAAGGGGACTTGCCCCGAGACTTGCTGTGCTGAGGAAAGCACAGAAAGTGGTGCAGCTGAATATCATGTGGGCAAGACAGCCCAGGGCCTTGCCGGTGAGCTGATGACTAGGAAGAATTGGAAGGCACGGAATGGTCTTGACCAGAGGAAGTAAATCTTCCTATTCATGTTCCAGGAAGATCACTTGGGATTCTGGCAATGGCGATCAGAAGGAGGCAGAAGTGGAAGCGAGAAGATCAGTGAGGGAGGATAGGAAATTCACCTTGGGCAGTAGCAGTAGTAAAAGTTAATAAGACTGCCAAAACCGGTTTGGCTCAGTGGATAGAGACTGAAAGGTCCCAGGTTCTATTACGGTCAAAGGCAAGTACATTGGTTGCGGGCACATCCCCAGTAGGGGGTATACAGGAGGCAGCTGGTCAATGTTTCTCTCTCATCGATGTTTCTAGTTCTCTATCCCTCTCTCTTCCTCTCTGTAAAAAATCAATAAAATATATTTTTAAAAAAGAAAGAAATTTAATAAGACTTAAGGATGGATTGGATGTAGAGTCCATTGGGAAGGGCAGAGCAAGGATGACTGCCAGGCTTTCGGCCTGAGCATATGCCTAATAGAGCAGTTTACTGAGATGGAGGAGATGGGGGGAGGGGAGTAAGGGTATAGTGGGACATTCATTTATTCAACAAATATTAATTGAGCATCCACTTTGTGTCAAATATGTTAAATCTGAAATGCTTATGAGGATCTAGTGCTGATGACGCCACACAGGAGATGGGTCTGTAGTAGCAACATTGGCCTAGGCCTTAAAATTGCTTAGGACCAGAGTATAACATGAGCAAGAAGCAAGGCAGCAAGACCAATAACGAACAGGACTTGCAGATGGATTAATGGCAGGCAGGAAAGAAGGACAAACAGGATTTCTCTAAGGGGGCATTTTATAATGGAAAATAGATGAACTACTCAAAAGAGACACAGAAATGAGAGTAGATCAAAGACCCCAATTAGAATAATAACAGCAAATACATGTCAGGAGATACCAGCCAGACACAATTCAGACTGCACATATTTAATTAACAATAGCTCTGTTTTTGCACATGAGAAAGCTGAGATATAGACCTAGTAAATGGGCCCCAAGATCTCAACCAAGGCAGGCTGGTCACTATTTCAGTTTCTAACAGCAGACATCAAGAAGAGGGAAGCAAATCAAAGATGATGATTTAATAGAACAAAAGATACTACAAAGCTGCAAGTTAAAAGAGCTATACCAGCCAAAACCGGTTTGGCTCAGTGGAAGAGTATTAGTCTGCGGACTGAAAGGTCCCAGGTTCGATTCCCATCAAGGGCATGTACATCGGTTGCGGGCACATCCCCAGTAGGGGGTGTGTAGGAGGCAGCTGGTCAATGTTTCTCTCTCATCGATGTTTCTAGTTCTCTATCCCTCTCCCTTCCTCTCTGTAAAAA